TTGTATATTACACCCTATGACAAATGTTATCTTAGAATTTAGCTGAAATGATTCAAATAAAAACAGAATTAACAGAATACTCACAACCTTCTTAGCTATCGTGACATATTCAGACATCAATTTATGCGAAACGAAAGAGCGAAGAAAGTGGCGATTCTAATTTGCCAGTATTTTCGTAGTACATGCAACAGGAACAATGTCGGAGGTTTTTAAATTGCAAGTCAGTAGGGATGTGTAAATAATAATGATTCAGTCTTGTACTCTCTGGGAAGGGATTCTATGAACTTGAGCTCATGTGAAGTCTTGAACTATTCACTGTACATAAATGAAGTTTTTGAACTTCCTTCAACAACACAAGAGTGAACTATGAAGGTGAACTCACTGAATTGTTTAATATTTGTTTGTCCCGAGACGGGGCCGAGAGGCCGAGTGAGGAGAGTGGAGAATGGAGATCTCCCTGGAGACTCGAGGTCGAGGATGAGAGCTTCGAGATCGAGAAGTCGAGACTCGAGGAGTCGAAACCCGAGGGCCTGTCTGGGGCTCTCTAGTAGTAGTATGTAGGGACTCAGGGCTCAGGGCCGAGAAATCTAGCGGACTATATAGCGGTCTCATGATATACAATTATACATCGATAAAAGAGTAAATAGTGTAAAATCGGTCTGATAATTTCCTTTGGTGGATAAAAAAATTGATAAAATTGAGAGTATTTAATGATAAAATAATTTGGCTATTTCGAAGATAAAAATGAAGTGCAACTCACAGGCTCATGACCTCATCTCTCACTCCTTATTTCATGTGCTATGCTCGCGCATATATAACCATCGGTTCGTCACCTGGATGGAGTTTATTGTATATGGATCTTTGAATTGCCCATCTCTATGAACTAATTTATAGGAACCTGAGCTGAATTAACTAACCTGTCCCGTAATTTTGTAGGCCACCGACTGTGCGTACTATGACGCATGGAAGGAGCAATCGAGGCCGTACTTTTTGCGTCTGCTTCTTCGCTGAGAAGTGCGCGGCTTGTTCTCCAGAGTCTGCATATGCATTTGACGTTTGTTATGTCAAACACCAGACTCAATATCTGAGCAAACATGCATATACAGCTCTATATTGCATGTTCACTTAACCTAATGATAGCGATGATATACTCGAATTGTCTCAAGGTACCTTCTCTGTTCAGCCCAATCGGATAGCCGACAGCTTCAATAGCTTAACGCAGCTATGGCATCCCGACTCTCGTCTAAAACAATACCACACGCGCATACTTTGTCGCTGGGAAGCCCGTCTTGTACTCCAATCATCTACGTAAATATCTGCCTATCGGTTGTCAAATACTAATAATTGTATCTAAATATACATGCATGTACAATTCTACATTGCATTTCGACATAATAAATTGATGATAATATACACCGACATGTCATCGAGCCCCCTCCAACAATTGCAGAATTTCTGAATGGCCAGCAGCACGTGCCCTGCGAATGGCCCAGTGCTCACCGCAAGGGATCTCCACTCTCGGATGCCCCAGCAATAGCCGTACGATATCGGTGTGACCCTTGGCAGTGGCTAGACCAATGGCATAATTCCCGTGTCCGCCCGGGTTGCAGCGCCCGTCTTTCAATAGTAGCTGCAACACCTTTTGGGATACAAGAATCATAAATCGGTAAGACAGGAGCATTGGAGAAAGCGTAAACACTTCGTTTCGGTCAAGGAACACTAGAACACATTGTAGTGTGTTATTCGATGAAGGCCGGGGCCATCTAGAAAACACTACACAACAATGAACTAGCAAGTAATGTTCGCAATAGTTTAAATTCCGCCATTCGGTTCGTAATTGCAAAGGTACTTCTCTACAATAGTTAATATATCACACGTCCACAGTTGTAGCACCTCAGGCCATAAATTCACGTACAAAATTCGTCTATGGGCATAAGATACAAATATATAACGCATTTCAAAGGTGCTGTAGGGCATATATTCACATACAGCTCGTTATTAAAAATAGACGCGCGTGTACGCACGTATATTTACCAAACAACATTGACGTATGTTGACACCAACCACAAAACACTAGCATACATAGTCATATAATTCTTTCACTTATGGCTTCAATTGCATTATATAGAAACTGATCATACCTCTGTATAGCCGCGCACACAAGCGAACTCAACGCTCTCGTCATATCCGAACACTGAAGCAGGAAAGCAATCGTAACGGAGCTGTAGCAAGAGCTTCATCACGTCGATGTGTCCGTACCAGGCACTTATACAAAGCGCGTCCCGCAATAAAAGCGGGTTGAATTTAAGGGCGCTCGTTGTGATGTAGTTGTGTAAGCGATCCACTACATCCGCATAGCCGAGTCCTATATGTCAAGCATATTGGGAGAAATCAGCAGAGTCCAGTCTACTATTTGAGGTACATGAAATACTTTGATTTATATCATAGCACGCATTGAATACTTCTTGTGGGTGGTATCATATGACTTACCCGATGCAGTGACCAGTGCCGGGTGCAGCACCCGTGAGGTACCGAACCTTCTGATGAAGGCACAGACCAGATCACACCCACCACGTGTGTACAGACTACGGAATGCGCGCACAAACAAGTGTGACTCTCGCAGTTGGTCGGATCGGCACGGCGAGATCTCAGAAATCCTGAATCTGAAAACACAAAGTACCAAATAGTCAAACAATTAGGAACATCACAGCGATGGTACAAGTAAAAGGACAATCTCCATTTAAGGTAATTGCATTGTTGATTTTCATGTACGCAAACAATATCGAATAATTACACGAAACACAAACACATCTGCCAGCGGTACCTATGATCGACTTCCAGCTCTTGTAAATAAATTGTGCTCAGTATCGGATTGATTTATACATCGATTCGGCAAGATACGTACTAGACGATCATGAGACAAATAACACATCCAAACCATCCTTACTGGCAAGCGGAAACAATGCACACCAATAGGCATGTTCTTGTACAAGCATTCGTAGTTGCACATGCATGGAATGTCCGAAATATCGCAAACAGCAATACTTATACGAGAAGATGGTGTGCTTGGACAGGCCTTGCCATAAAACTAACTCCAAACCAGCGAAATGCGGGTAGCACGTACAGGAATTGATTCATGCTCCATGCACGCGCAGGTAAAATGAATAAAAACCTAAAGTACCCGCCACAATTGCACAACTCAGACGTGAAAAGGACAAATCAATATGATCCCACAGACCCGCGTACGGGTGGCAATTCCTACCATTACTATCTCGTAATATTAGTCGTTGCAGAATGATATTTATATATATATATACTTAACGATATATACATAAATATACATTTACATAAATATACAAACAAATAGACCTATAGACATAAACACACACACACACACACACACTATATATATAAATAAATATATAGGATATATACCTTTCTTTCAAGTGAAGTGCCTGGACGGTATTTGCAAGTACAGCTACCTCCACGCAGCTGAACTGAGAAACAGCATGCACAGAGCGGCTTGTGCACGAAAGTTCAGTCCACTCTCTAACGTGTAGCAGTTGCATGATGCGACACTGTAGATCGGGTACCAAGTTTGCGAAGCCAATGCCCATGTGTTTATTGATAGCCACGACCATGATGTTGTTAAGGTGAGTAGCGATGGCGCGTACAATCTCTGATGTATTGGCACGGTAGTGCGTTTGTCTAAATGAATGCATTCCTAGAAGAAGCTGGCGTATTTACGTGTACTTGAGGGATGCACTGGTTGGGGGTTTGGGCAGCAGGCCAACAGCTTGGGAACGACATGATGGGAAAATGGACTGTCACTGCGACTGCCACTGTAGTCAACGTAGAAACAACGTTGCTTCGACTGAGCGAATTCAAAATTGATCACTGGTCATCTATTTATAATTATAAAAAAAGATCTGTCCGACTCAGCTAAGTCGTTTAGGGTTCGACATGATCGAATTTTATACGCTTTAACGTATAAAAGACAAACGGCTCACTCGAGTACTACACCTCGTTGAAATTCCGACGGTGCTTGTCGAGAAACATAAACGTTTAAAAACGTTTTTAGCGAGAAATTAACTAGGGTTTGGCCGACTGTGTAAACCAATCAGATTCAGCTTTTCCACTTTTTTTCTATCTTTATAAATCTGATGGGAGTACTTGGGCTCCCGCCAAAACGTTAAAGAAGCACTGGTCGATTACCGGAAACCCAGCCTGATTACGTTATGGTAGTTCAGAGTATACATTTCACGCCAACACATAACGCTCTGATATTTTTCAACGCTCTATTGTACAGTTGGCTAGGCAGGGCTGACCTAAAATAAAAGATTATAGGACTATATAGGGAGGTAGTTCTCATGTATTGCGCCTCAAAGCCCAAATATTGCACCAATATTTAACATTCAGGACCACACCTTAGTAAACGTTGAATATAAACGTAAAATGTATGGTTTTATACGTTACAACGTGAAACGTAATGAGCCCAGTTTATCACTCTGACAGACTGGGACACGCAGTAATTAGCTGTGTGGACAGGCCGTGGCTCTCCAAGTCGTGGACGTGTCGTCAATTCGTTGCATATAGTGTCCATGTCCCGATCGGACATTGGATGTTCGTGCGATACCGAGGGGATGCAAGCACATGCTCGCATAGTGAAGAGATGAAGATATATCGAAAGAGAGAAGACAGAGGGAGTGTGTGAGAGAGAGAGGGAGAATAAGAGAGTTAGAGGTAGCGTTTTTGTAACCTTTTTCTGCCATTCTCTACTAGAGAGAGAGGCGAAACAAAGCTTGTCATAGGCTCACCCGCAAGCTTGCAGTAAAACACATTCAAAGGCAATCTGATACCTCATTGGAGTGTGGATTTTTCTAATACCGTGTTTCTAATAAGAACCACAGTAGCCACACTGCATATGTATAGTGAGGATATTGTAGGCTGTTCTCGTATTTTAGATTGAGTATTCCCCGCCCGGCAACTTAACCTAGTACTTGTCTATTGAGCATTCCCCGGTAACTTACTAGCACTTGTCTATGAAGGACAGTACGCAATCACTTCAATCGAAACACATGTTTGTAGACGCAGATCGATAGCTTGGGAAAAAGCTACGATAAATTCATTATATTGAGAAGTTTAATCAATCGCTGGCAGAGTCATCGTCACTACTACTTTGCATCCTCCCTCTCCTGCTGGGTGCTTCAGCCTGATCATTCTCTGCATAGACTAAGCCAGCGTCATAATCTAGCAAATCACCCCATATCTTCACTAACTCATCCTGTGCCGGTTTCTTGACCCATAAAGCGTACACTTGCAGCAGCCAATTCGTATCCGTTCTCAGTTTGTCAGACATGTCAGCTTTTGTGCAAACGTTTTCGCGAGCTAGAACTCCTATCAGGGCCACCACACGTTCCTGAGCCCAGCCCTTGGTCACCATCGCCGGGCTTGCGTTCTGTGCAGTGGTGATTGTATTAGAAACAGACGCTTGAATATATTTGGCACAAACTTGTAGGTAGCAAACTTGAAACTTCCCATACACTCTAACTAGAAGCAGCGTACGTTTGTGGTAATAAATGTGCTTATGCCAGACTCCCACTAGACCCCGTATTATCCCTCGGAACTTGGGGAGTACATACACACACACACACAAACACACACATATATATATATGTATACATATACATATACATATACATACGTATACACACACATACACACACGCATATAAATAAATATAACCATAATAAATGTATGTATGTATGTATTATATATATATATTTATATAGATAAAAGATACACACACACATACACTCATAACAAACGCATATATATATATATATATACATATAAATATAATACTTTAAATAGTATGTATTTATTTATTCATCTATATATATATATATATAGATGTAGATACACACACATTCCCACACACATATATATATATGTATATACACATGCATACATACATAGATACATACATAGATACAAATAATATATATATATATACATATACATATTTGTATATGTATGTATACATATATCTATAGCACAGAACGGAACGAAGACGTTGGCATCATCGATTGCTGATATTAAGTAAACATACCAAGTGCGGTATCAGCGCTTTCAAGTGTGGGAACACCTCTCCGTTCAACAGTGCTCGCGCGAACACTTTAAATCGGTCAGTGTTGTCTGTGGGGTAGGGATACTCCTCCAAACCAGGCAAAGGAAACGGTCGGATCTGCGATGTACACGTGTATAGAATAAATCAACACCATATAGTCCACTGCAACGAATGTTGGACCTAAGAGGTTCTTGTCTTCTTGAACATCCAGGGGTGCATGCGTTGCCACAGATGCATACGTCAGTCAAGATCTCTATGATCTAAATGAATAATTTGCGCATTGTCTCGGGCCTTGCAACTGAGTTGTGAGTGAGCAAATGTGAGGCATGATTACCATCCACACGGAACAACCACATAGACTATCACACTCGTATAGTGCATTTGTATATATATATATTTATAATATAATATATATATATATATACATAAACACATCACATATAATAGCATGCACACACACACGCACGCCCGCG